GTGGCATAGCTTTCAGAATCACAGCAACTCACAAGCCACCACAATACAACAAACTGACAGACAAGTGGGCACTTTATTAGTGACTGGTATGTCATGCACCTGGTCCACCCCAGGTGGCATCTTCACAGGTCCCACACAGAGCAGCTCAGCAGACACTCATGGTCTTGATCCCGGCCCAAATGGTTTTCAATGGCTTCTTTTCTTGGCCCACATCGTGTTCCACCCCTGACCCCATAGTCCACCCTGTAACACATTGTTAGAGGAGTCCAACATGTAGCCGGGACAACCTGGGGACGTGGGTGGTAGCTGCCCCTCACCCTGTCTTTGTCCCCAGCTCGAGGCGGAGGCGGTCTTCCGGGCCATCACCATTGCTGGCCGCATCAACTGCCCAGTGTACATCACCAAGGTGATGAGCAAGAGTGCCGCGGACATCATCGCACTGGCCAGGAAGAAAGGTGAGTGGTCACAGGGCATCCAGGGAGAGGTGTGTGCAGGGCAGCCCCTTGGCCAGGGACTCGGACAGGACAGGGAGCACAGGGCAGACACAGCCATAGACCCACTGACTTGGGGTTTGACTTCTGGGTGTGCACCTGTGTGGACACATCTGAACCTGGGCTCCCCCTTTGTGGGATGAGTTGAGCGTCCCCACCTGGTGGACCCGAAGTTTCTAGGCAGCCGAGTAAGCTGCAGTCCCTCAGCATCTGCCCTCCTGACCTCTTCAGGCACTTCCTTCTGGGTGGGGGTCATATGCCAGTGCCCACCATGGTCCACTGGGCCAGCACCCACATCTCAGCTGCAAGTTTTCTGAGGCAGAAGCACAGGGTAACCCCTACTGGACTCGGGCTCAAGAGGAAACTCTGTGCCTCGGAGCCTCATGTCCTCATCGCCAATGAGGACAAAATGAGTGATGGGAAGAAGGGACCTCACTGGCGTGAGCCAATGTTGCTCTCAGGCCTGATGGATACCGCAGGCTGGTCCCCTTGCGACAAGGGCTCCCCGAACATGCCCTCAGCTGCTCAGTGCGTGGGTGTGAAACAAGAACTGCAAAGTCTGTGACGGTCCCCAACAGTCAGATGCCCAGAGCAGACTTTCTCCCAAACTCAGAGACAGACACACTGGTAAACTGTCTGGGAACCGGCTGCCAAAAGATGCAGCTAGATGCAGTTTCTCCAGTTTAACAGAATCCAGTGGATGTTAAAGGCAGCTCCCTCCCTCTCTTCCTCCTGAAATCTTCCCAAATACTGCCCTCACTTGGGTTCCCTCAACAAAACAACCCAAACCGCCTCAGCAAACTGCATTTCCATGCATCAGTTTATAAATGGGTGAGCTCAGTGCTGAGGATGAGTGGCTGGGACCCCTGCATCCTCCTCCCTCAAAGGCCCTGCTGTCATGCCTGCCCACTAGAGGCCCCGTGCTAACCGGCTGTGTCCTGCTCTCCCCCAGGGCCTCTCGTCTTTGGGGAGCCCATTGCTGCCAGCTTGGGGGCAGACGGCACCCACTACTGGAGCAAGAACTGGGCCAAGGCAGCCGCCTTTGTGACCGCCCCTCCGCTGAGCCCGGACCCCACCACCCCTGACCACCTCACCTCCCTGCTGGCCTGGTATGAGCAGACGTAGCCTCTAGATGGGAGCAGGGGTGCCGGCTGGCTGTGGGCGAGAGCCAGACATGGGGAGAAGGGCAGGTCTCATGCACGTGTGGACACTCATCCACCCTGACCCACACCTGAGAGCACACAGCTCCTGTCTGTCTGGTGACTCAGGCAGCCGACAGCCTGTTTTGTTAAGGACCTGCCGGCTGTGCCATACTTGGGTTTATATACTACTGTATGCCTCAGTGTGCATAGCATGGAGAGGCACCACGATTGGGATTTCAAGGTTGGATTCAGATCTGGGCACAGCTACCAGTGGTCTGGGGATGAGTGTTCTCCCACTCCAGAATCCCAGCCACTCCGTGCTGGCTCTGCGCTATTCTAGCAAGGGCAACTTAAACTCGGTACGTGTGTGTGTGTGTGTGTGTGTGTGTGTGTGTGTGTGAAGGACCCCTGTGCACAGCGGATGGGGGTGTACAGATGACTGGGTAATCTCCCTGGCCGGTCCTATTCAGGGAGGACACAGGCCCCTGGGCCCCCCCGCCCGGACCCCACCGGACACAGAGCCCTCTCGTCTACAGATGATGTTCTCACAGATGATGTCCAGCAGAGACCTTTCTGTGTCCCCACACCCTCCTCCCGGAGCCTCCTGATCTTGGGGCTCATGGCAGTGGGTTGGACCTGGAGTTGGGGCCCAAGGTGAGCACGGGTCTGAACCTCTTCTCTCCTCCCAGCGGGGACCTGCAGGTGACGGGCAGTGGTCACTGTCCCTACAGCACCGCCCAGAAGGCAGTGGGCAAGGACAACTTCACGCTGATCCCTGAGGGAGTCAATGGGGTCGAGGAGCGCATGGCGGTCGTCTGGGACAAGGCAGTGGTAAGGGGCATTGGACTACCCTGGAAAGTTCCAGAAACACCCTGGGGGGCATCACAAGAGGATCCGTTATGGACACTAGCCCTTAGGCTCTGTTCTTTCTGAAGTGGACACAATGGAGAGATTTGGGGAGCCCACAGGGGAGCCATGAGAGTCTCCTACTGCTCTCTCATTCCAAATCCCAGCTGTCCTGTGCATTACATCTTAGTTCAGCAAGAGCACCATAAACTCTGTGTGTGCACATATGTGTGTGTGTGTGTGTGTGTAAAGTTCTTGTTGCTAAGTGTCCAGTCTCTCTGTGACCTCTGGCTTAAGCTAGCATTTCCTTTTCTATTAAATGTGCACCGAGAGACCCCTTGCCCCCCTGCTCAGCTGCCTGGGTCTCTGGTTTGTGCATACCCCCTGTGCCCTTGTAAGGCACACCCACACCCCTACTAAGAGTCTCCGAGGCTCTGTCATCTTGGGTCTGCCTATAGGCCACCGGCAAGATGGACGAGAACCAGTTTGTAGCTGTCACCAGTACCAATGCCGCCAAGATCTTCAATCTGTATCCCAGAAAAGGGCGGATTGCTGTGGGCTCAGACGCAGACGTGGTCATCTGGGACCCTGACCGGGCAAAGACCATCACAGCCAAGAGCCACAAGTCGGTGAGTCCATCTGTCCAGTTGCGGTTGTAATCGGGGAGTCTGGCTGCAGTATTAACTGTGTTTGTGGAAGAGGAATGGTTGCCTGAAAGCCCCGAGGGTGTCCTTCAGAGTCTTGAGGGTGTCTCTGAAGCCCTGAGGCTGTCCCTGAAGCCCCGAAGGTGTCCCTGAAGCCCTGAGGGTGTCCTTCAGAGTCTTGAGGGTGTCCCTGAAAGCCCCGAGGGTGTCTCTGAAGCCCTGAGGGTGTCCTTCAGA